GCAGTGCTCAAGTCTGCTTCGCGACGAGCCGAGCTCGTTTCCGTCATGCGCCGCATCGTTTCGTCAGGTGCCTTGACCTCCAGCACCGCCATGCGTCCACTTAAACGTACCGACAACCCCACCGCCGTGCACCCTGCGTGGCGCGACGCCGACGCTCTCGTCATCATGACTTGGCCATGGCAAAACGCCGCAAAGGATGAGATGCAAGCCAAGGTTGAGATGTTCCGCGACGAGCTGGCCCCACTGCTGACGGAGGTTGCTCCCGAGGGCGGCTCCTACAGCAATGAAGCTGATGCGTATATGAGAGGCTGGAGGAGAGAGATGTACGGTGAGAACTGGGAGAAACTGCTTGAAGTCAAGGAGAAGTGGGATCCTGAGGGAATCTTCTACTCGAGGCGGACTCCGGGAGCGGATAAGTGGCATGTTGATGAAAGCACGGGCAAGATGTGCAGGGCGAACGTGATATGTCCCCCCGAAAGACGGAGACAGGTGTTCAACAACAGGAGTTGGTAAAGAAGGGCATCACGTTTGGGCTCCGCAAAATCTAGACGTGGTAATAGATGTTTCGATTCCTGTGGCAATGTTTTCCATGGGTAATTTTTTCTGAAGGGCTTATGAATCGCCAAATCACACAAACCCGAGGCTGCCGTACACACTTATGCAAAATATCAAAACACCAAACCCTTGAGACCCAACAGCCACAATGCCTCGGAAGCCACCTCTTCCGGCGCTGGTGCAGCGTTCAGAGGCAGTACGTCAACCTCGCTCACATCAGGTGCCTCATAGACCGCAACCTGACTATCTACCAGATCCGGGGGCATGTAATGGTCCACACGGCCGCTTGTGCGAGCGGCCAGCAGTTCAGGCTCGCCTTGCAGGTCCAGAAAGATGGTTTGCACATCTTTACCGACGATCTGCCTCAAAGCATCTCGGTAAGGCCGACGCAGAGCGGAGCAGCTCAGAACTACCGAATCATATCCGAGATCAGAGATGGTCTCGACGGCCCTTTTGCCGAGACGCTCCAACCAGGCAGAGCGGTCCGCATCTGTCAGGGCTTGGGATGCAGCCATCTTCTCGACCGAGGCGCGGGAGTGAAGCAAGTCGCCCTCGATGAAGGGAACCTTGAGCTTGTGAGACAAGACTGCCGCCAGCGTGGACTTGCCGCTTCCGCATGGTCCAGCTACGATGACAACCGTCTTCTTCATCTCGGGCTTGCCGGTAGGCTGAGCCCAGGCATTGGCCTTGAAGTATGTCACGAAATTGTCGACAAGCTGCTGGTCCAGGACGCCTACACTCGCCAGCGATGGTGCCAATTCGCAGGCCTTGTTGGTGACATACGACTTGGAGGGACCGAACTCTGTCTTGTCGTACTTGGACGCGAAGAAATCGACGAGTTTGATCGGCGGGTTGCGCGCCGGGTCAGGGTTCGACGCTCGGAGACGCCTCACCCACTCCTTGGGCTCGACCTCCTCAAACTCGAGCCCCGCCCTCCTCAGCGCTGGCAGCAAGTCATTCGTCCAGTCAAACACCCTGGGGTTCGTCACGTTGGTGAACACACCACCGGCGTCCGAGAGAGAGATTTCGGACACGGCGGCGGCGACGACATCGACGGGGGTCCAGGACGGCGTCTCCCTCAGCCGAGGGAGCGCCCCGATGGTGACGGCCGCCTGCAGCATTAGCGGGATCGCCTCCGTGTCGTTCCAGACGCCGTGCTCCGTGTCCGCGACGATCTGGCCGACGCGTAGCACCCGCGCCGTGACACCGTGCTCGGCGGCACGGGCGCAGAGGTGCTCGGCGACGCACTTGGACTGGGCGTACCCCATGCCTTGCGCCCACTCGAGCTCCGGAAGAGACTCCGGAACGGGGACGGTCGTCGCGCGGACGACAGTGCTGACAGAGGAGCAGAAGTTGAACGTTGCGGCCGATGACGGCGTCGCTTTGCAGAGGGAGATGAGGTTCGAGACGCCGGCTATGTTGGACTTTTCAAAGCTTGAAAGGCGCATGTTGAAGTTGACGGACCATGCGCAGTGGATCACGGACCGCAGGGTCTCGGTCAGTTGGGTGTAGTCCGCGGTCGTCAAGCTGAGCTGGTCGTCTGAGAGATCCGACGCCAGGCTGACAATCTTCTGGCGATCGGCGAGTCGAAGGCCGTGGTAGATGCGTCTTTGGACCAGAGACGCTTGCACGCGCCGGGCGGCCTCGCTGTCGGACTTGGCGCGTACAAGACAGTACACGGTTGAGACCGTGGGGTCTCGGGCAAGTTTTGCAGCGACGTGAGCTCCAAGCGAGCCTGTTGCGCCAGTGACGGCGACGGCCGAAGGGGCCCGGTCACTCGATGCTGGCTTTTGGGAGTACCGTTCGATGAGATTGCGCATCTCACTTTCAACCGACGTTTCTTCTACGGCCGTTTCGTTACTCGAAAGACTGAACAGGTACGCGCTCAAGTTCTCCACCGAAGGATGGTCGAAAACCACCGTCTGCCCAAGCTTGTGGCCCTGGACGTCAATGGTCTTCAAGATGTCGCTCCGCATCTGAATGGCCTGCAGCGAGTCCAGGCCGAGCGAGAAGAAGTCTGTATCATTCTCAAAGGGAGTCTCTTTGCCCAATGCCTTGGATACGGACTGACGGACGAATTCGTGAAGTTGCTCCAGGGTGAGCTTCTGAAGATCGCCGGAAGAGGCATCCGCATTGTCGTATGTCTCGTCAATCTCCTTGGCGTAGGTCTTGTAGAAAGCCTGGCGAATGACACTGCCCTTATCGGTTCTAGGGTAGTCGCAGCCATAGGGTAGGATCTTGATGAGGCTCTTGGGGATTTTGGCATATGCCTCGACGTTGCGGCATGCAGCATCAACCACGGGCCAGATGACTTGCAAGGCTTGCTCCTCGGTCTTGCCCCCGAGCGATGCGGCAGGGACAATCAACACACCCAAGGCCGATCGGCCAACACCGAAGATGGCGGCTTCGGTCACATCTTTGCTGGAGCGAATGGTTCCCTCGGTAGATACGGGGTTGAACATTTCACCGTTGACGAGATTGATGGTATCGTCACGGCGAGCAATGTACTTCCAAGCTTTGGGGATCGTAGGGTGGGGTTCAAAGAGATCCTTTGTCGCGTAAGAGCCATCGTCCTGGTTTGAGGCTACCTTGGAGGGCCAGCCCTCGAGCACAACGCACTCGTAGAGGTTCTCGCCGCGAGGTATCCATCGAAGATATGGAGATAGCTTGGGCGTCTCACGCACGTAGTTCCAACCCTTGTCATCCGCGGAGCGGAAAGAGGTCATTAATTGACCAACTTCGGTACTGCAGATCATTAGAATGCAAATCCTGTAGTGACAAGGCGGGTAACTTACGCTCCATAGTGGCCGACGAGGTTAACTCCGTGGTCAACCAGAGAATCTCCAAGGTCATCGGGGCAAGCCGAGCCTCCATACATGACAACCTTGAGATCCCGCAAGAGGGACATGCCCTCGTCCGTCTCGGAGAGAAGCTTCAGTGCATATGGTACACCGTAAAAGATCTCGAATCGGTGTGTTCGCATAATCTTAGCCAGGTAGTTGTGGGTCAGGGGAAGATCAGCGTTGTACAGATGAATCTGCTTGCCGCAGTGGATCGCGCGATACAGGTTACAGATGCCGTGGTTATGATACAATGGCAACGTGATGAATGCCTTCATCTCCATGCTCCAGGCGTAGTTGGCAACTGCTGACTTGTGAGTCTGATAAATCGGCTTGGGCAAGCCCGTGGAACCTGCACCGAATTAGCCAAATGTATGAGGGCTCTGAGTGGTATTGGGTGAACTATACCGCTTGAATGGATAATGTAGACACGGTTGTTTGTCTCGATTGCTGGGTCGAGATGAGCATCCAGCTGCGTGTCTGCGTGAACCTCAATCTCGAAATCAAAGGCTGAACTATTCACGAGTTCAAGAATTTCCAGGCCTGGAAGCGATTTCTGAGCGACTTCTGCGGTTGCGGCGTGGCGAGGATCCGCGATGAGAACCTGCGCCCCGGTCGTCTTTATCAAGTTCTCAACAGCCTCCTGTGAGATCCTGGTCGATAGAAAGAGTGTAGTATGTCCCAGCTTGGTCAACGCAAGCATTGTGATGAGATACTCAAAATTTGACGGCCCGATGACTGCGACCGTCATTGGCTTTTCTGTCGAAGACCGGCGCGCGGGAAGTGACTGCTGGTATGACTTTGCCGCGCGGTATGCGAAGACGTCAAGTTGACGCATGGTGTAGTCGACGTATTCAATACCCGTGGAGGGGTAGGACACGATCACCTTGTCAGGATGGCTTCGTGCCCTCCGTCGAACGAGCTCATCCACGGTCTGTATTGTGGAATCATCTTCAACGATGGCTGTCTGGGGATTGGCGAACGATTGCAGTGGAGAGTTGCTGGGGCTGACTAGACCCGTGGGCCCATAGACTGATGGAGGCGCCATGTGTGGAATTGGTGTTCAGTTGCGGTTGGAGGCAGTTCAAGAGAATGGCCTATCTTCTCGAAAGCCACTTGAGAGCCAAGGGTCGCTGTCCTTATGAATTCACAACCAGGGTGGTCTGTCATATCCGTTTCCATTAGACTGAAATGCCGTCAGCAGATCTTAGACGGCACATCGGCAGAGACGGATAGGACGCAGATTGATGCGGATAAATCGAACCCGCTTTTCCCCAGATTATAAGGCTAAGTAACGGATATGTCCCTGATGCCAAAATGAGGGGCACAAATCCGGTGTGCTTGGGCAGCCTACGGATTTGACGGATTCGACGGATTTCCTGATTGAGCCTGTGATCGCTTCTCCGCCCAATTAGGAACGAGCCTACGATGACAGTTTCTCGATTTACTACAAACAGGTCGTATTCCGTTGACGTTTGGCTGGTGCAGCTGGGATACATGCCAACTATAACTTTGCTGTCTTTTTGACTGTTGTGACTGTCCACACGCAGAACCGGCTCTCGTCTGACCTACCATCCTCACCCTTGCTTTCCTCTCGTCATCGATATGCCTCTCGCAACACATCTCACCCTCAATACAGGGGCCAAGATCCCCGCCGTCGGCTTCGGCACCTGGCAGGCCAAACCTGGTGAAGTCGAAATCGCGGTAGAGACTGCTCTCAAGACCGGCTACCGTCATATTGACTGCGCCGCGATCTACCGCAACGAGGCAGAAGTCGGTGAAGGAATCCGAAAGTCAGGTGTGCCTCGATCTGAAATCTTCCTTACTGGCAAATTATGGAACACAAATCACGCACCTGAAGATGTTGAGGCCGGTGTCAACAAAACGCTACACGACCTCGGTACCGACTACCTCGACTTGTTCTTGATGCACTGGCCAGTGTGAGTGATCCCGCCAACGGAGAGTTTGTCTACATTCTGACAGTCATCAGCGCTTTCAAGAATACTGGAAAGTGGTTTCCCCTTGAGGGCAATGGCGTGTTTGCGCTGGCAGATATTGACCCATCGGTTACATGGGCTGCCATGGAGGAACTCGTGACCTCTGGAAAGGTCCGCGCCATCGGTGTCTCCAACTTCACTATCAATAGACTTGAGTCTCTTCTCGCAACCACCAAGACCGTGCCGGCCGTCAACCAGGTCGAGGCACACCCTTACCTCCAACAGCCGAAGCTCTTTGACTTCTGCAAGTCAAAAGGCATCGTGCTGACCGCCTACTCTCCGCTCGGCAACAACCAGACCGGCGAGCCTCGGACAGTTGACGACCCGCTGGTTGGAGAGCTCAGCGATAAGCTCGGCGTTGACAGGGGGCAGCTTCTCGCCGCCTGGGGCGTCCAGCGTGGAACCGTTGTGTTGCCAAAAAGTGTCACGCCGAGTCGTATTAAGAGCAACTTTGAAGTGCGAGAACTTCCTGCTGGTGTGTTTGAGAAGCTGAACGGCTTGGAGAGGAACAAGCGATTCAACTGGCAGACGAGGTGGGGCTTCGATATCTTCCAGGAAGTCGGAGAAGAGGAGGCCAAGAAAGTAGCGCAAGAGGCCGCAGAGGAGAACAAGACGAAGTTCACCGTGTAGAGGGGCATTAATTAAAATAAATCGAATACAGGCTAGATAAAACAGGTTAGATACCAATGTCCGACATCCAATGGAGGGAACTCGGTTCCAAATCCATGTATGGGCCAAATGCTGAGGAATCCAGGTCAAGCCAATCCGTTGTATGCCACTCATCCAGAAGACTATGTCCAAGCTGTCCGCTAGGGTCCAGGGGCACGTCCAACCCCTCCGGCCCCGGCAGTTGATAGTAGGACACATCCTGCAGCGGCCCGACCTGCGCTTCAGAGTGCATCGCCTGTCCCGGCTGTACTTCAGCCAGTTGACCACTGTCGCCACCGGGCACTGGCGGATTGCCCATGGCTTCGGAACGAAACTCCTCCAAGATTACGGCATACCGCCGACTGGGAGAGTTTGTGGCCGTTGCTTTGGCAAGATGCGTCTGGCACCGCCGCGCAAGCTCTATCAATCTCGTATGCTTGGCTTGCTCCTTTCCCACCAACACGACACCTCTTCGCTTGAGCTGTATGTCCCAGACATACGAGATTACCAAGGCGCAAAAGGTGACATACTGCGTCCACCAAAAGGCGTGAAAGATTGGGCCCTCTGCAGCTAGGCCATCAACCGTCTCGAACACGCTGCGAGCGGCACCCAGACACTCGGCAATCTGAGTTTCACTCTCCGGGTACACCGTCGCCAGGAGGAACAGCCTGTTAGCGTGCATAATGGCGTGACTGTAGCCAAGCTTGAGGACGATCGATTTCCGCCTGAAGCTTGGAACTAGCATTGAAGGATGGATGGAGCCCAAATACGGTGGCAGGCTCTCCTTCCACTCGTGGACCTCTTTGCTGAGTCGGTGTGCGGCGGAGATGCGTTCTTCCTCCGATATGGGTTTGATCGAGTAGACCTCACGCGATATCTTGCTGATGATCTGGGCGATCCTAACAAACTATCAGTCATGATATCTGAATCCAGGTCGGAAGCCTTACTTGATGTGAAATATCAAAGCCTCTGCTGCAGCGCCTGCCTGCTCACCGCCCACGGCGATGGGTCCCTGGGCTGTCATATCGTCGTCGTCGATCTTGTCCGGTAAGACCTGATCAATATCGTCATCATGGTAATGCCTTGGACGCCCGAAAATCACGCCAAGGTACTTGTCCAAGATGTACGCTGTCCAAAAGGTTCGAACACGGAATTGCGACTGGATGTAGTCGACCGGGCTCGAAGTGAGCTGGCGCTTTCTTGCACTTTTTCGATGGAGACCCAATGCCGAGATGATTTGCAGTCCATTGCCAAAGGTGTACCAAGCTCGATTGAATCGAGAGGTGGTCAAGAGATACAAGGTTTGGATGATTCGCGCCTGAGCAGACTCGAGTCGCGGGGACCCGGTTTCCGCGTCCGTGAGCTGAGCAGCAACACAGAAGAGGTGATCGCTTGGAGACAGCGAGAGCGCGTCGACCTGGTCGGAAGCAAGACCACGCGACTTTTGACGATGTGCTGTCGCTACAGCTAGGCAGGCTAGTACGATGGACGTCCTGGCCCTGCCAAGACCCTGCCAAGGTACCTGTCCCCCTTGGACATTTGTTTCGATGGTCTCCAGCCAAGACTGTGCCGTAGGTCTATGCACAATGTGGTATGTTGCAATGCAGACATCAAAGTACATGGCCAGCAGATCCACAAGGTCTTGATGGCCGGGCAAGTTCAACCTGTAAATGTCCTCTTCCGAGGTCTGAGGCAGAGGTCTGTCTCCGGCCAGCATAACAGGTTGGTGTTGGACGGAGGCGTAGGCATGGGAATCATTGACAGGAACGGCACCGTCATGCTTGGCTAGCCTTTTCCATGCTCGGTGGAGAAAGGTCACGCCGGATGTGGGATCAAAAACCTGTCCCTCAATTTCCGCCATACCGAGCTCAGGGGACGCACGGGACGCTGGTACACTCTCACTGAGACGATTGACGCTCAAGCGCATATTCTCAGGTTGAGAAACAGTAACTCGGGGCTCAGTCTGGTGGTCAAGTCTTGCATTGACATGGTGAGTCGGGGCTGCCGCCGGATGATGATCCCGTGAAGGTGGCGGGGTCGGCGGACGGCCCCTCGAGTATCGAGCCGCATAGAGGCACGTCAGCCCCCTATTGGAGCAGGTCGCGCATGGTATTGTGCCACTACACTTGGCTTTGCGTTGCTTGCAGTGGTCACATGCCCTGCTGACCTTGTGGCCTTTACTGCCTCGTCTGTGGTTGTGGGTAATTGTGTCATCAGAGCCAGGTGAGCCCAGCGTGTCACCGTTTGCTGTCGAAAGGCTGCGTTTGCGTGACATGCGCTGAGGAGAAGAACCGGACGCGCTCTCCGCCGAATGTTGCGCCGATTTGGAGACGCGAGCCGCGGCCGCGGCTGTGGGGGTTGATGCTTGTGAATCCATTGCTGCTGATCCCATTTGCACAGCCTGGGCTGGGCAAAGATACTCGGGTCGTTTCAAGCGGGCGATAGGGACGGATTCCTGGTCAACTGGAGAAACATTGAAAAGAGTGAAGAGCAAGGCGGAAACTGGCTGGGGATGGGACGGATAAAGAATGAATACTGGAGAACTGCGGGGAGACTGGAGATTCTCCATGCGACGCCCATTTGCCGAGCTTCAGATCCGGGGCCCCGCAGTCTGTCGATGCGAGTAAATCCGTCTTTTCCGTCTCGGCTCGGTGGCCATAAGACTGCCAAGAGCCCAGTTTCCCAGTCTCCACGAAGGCCAAGACGAAGTCTTGGAAGTCTGAGCAGCTTTCTGTTCCCTCAACCTGGGGCATCTTGTAACCATCCAGGCGCGAAGAGAATCCTTGCCACGGATTCCATCGCATCAATTGCTAGACCCCGCGCGATCCACCACGTAAATTGGTCTTGGTATCTCCACAAACGCACCTAAGCTTCTGCGGCGAAGGGGAGAGGGCAAATCTGTTGCGCCATGTGCCACGGCGAGGATGTTCCCCAGAGAATGCCACAGATGATGGCAGACTACAAAAGCTCGGCGCTCGCGCGCATTTAGTCTGGAACTGCGGTTCGATAGCCAGCCTTTTTGATCTCGCGACTTTCTCAACTACGAGAGAGAATCTGGGTCAAGTTGAGGAGATACTGCACCATTTGCGCCTCATTTTGACGCAGGGCTGCCTGTCCCAAGCTGCGAAAATGGCCAACAACAATCTCTCGACCGAGAAGCCCGAAATTGTTCTCGTGGACGACAACCGTGACGTGTCGGATGACGTGCCCGAAAAGGCACCTCATGCTCGGGTCATTGATTCGTTCCACGTCTTGGGTCTGACTGACGACGATGTTCATTTCTACGAGAACTACACACCGGAACAGAGAAAGCGAACAATGCGGAAAGTAAGTCTGACAAGCCTGTGCCGGGATGAAAGTCTGAGAGCTGCAGTCCTAACGATTTGTCTGCAGGTCGACGTACGCTTGACTCCCATGCTTGCGGTGTTGTACCTCATCTCCCACCTCGACCGCTCCAATATTGGAAACACCAAGATTGAGGGCATAGACGTCGATCTCGGAATTAGCGGTATTCAGTGGAACATTGTCCTGTCCCTCTTCTTCGTCCCTTACATCCTCCTCGAAGTACCCTCAAACGTTCTACTCAAGCGATTCAAGCGTCCATCTCTGTACATGGGCATATTGGTCACAACCTGGGGCGTTATTATGACCCTCCACGGAGTCGTCCAGAATTTTGGCGGCCTCCTCGCTCTGCGCATGCTTCTCGGCGTTTTCGAAGCCGGTTTCTTTCCCGGCGCCGTCTATCTTTGCACTTTCTGGTACATGCCACGAGATCTGGCTTCGCGCATTTCATGGTTCTACTGCATGAGCGCACTGTCTGGTGCCTTTTCGGGGTTGCTGGCCGCAGGTATTGCGAAGATGGATGGCATCGGCGGCTACGAGGGCTGGCGCTGGATCTTCCTCATTGAGGGTATCATTACCGTGGCACTGGGCATCATGACGTTCTTCTGCCTGGTAGACACGCCCGCTCTCAGTGGGAGATGGCTTGACCCTGAGGAGATTCGATTCCTCGAGCTCCAGCACTTCATCAAGCAGGGAGGACGATTCCAAGATGAGGCCAAAGAGGACAAGTACATATGGCAAGATCTCAAGGCTTGCGTCCTCAATTGGAGACTATGGCTGGTGGCCTACATCCAGTTCTGCCAATCGGCCATGAGCTACGGTACGTTTGGTCTCGTTCTAAACTGCATCAGACTCGACGACATCAAAGCTCCGTGATAGTTTTGACTGATTAACTGACCTGCGATAGGCACGAAATTCAATCTCCCGACCATAACACGTTCGATGGGCTTCGAAAACACACAGGCGCAATTGATGACAGCCCCTCCCTACGTCGCCGGCGCCATCTCATCTATTGTGTTCTCCCAATTCTCGGACCGCTACTACTGGCGGATGCCTTTCGTCGTCATCCCGTTCAGTTGCGTCTGCGTCGGCTTCAGCATTATGCTCGGTCTTCGCGGCAACTTTGAAGACCAGATTGGTCCGTCCTACTTTGCCGCCGTTGTTGCATGCATCGGCATCTACCCGGCCATGCCGGCCGCCACGTCCTGGGCAGCGAACAACCTGGCGCCGGCGTCGCGCCGCGCCGTCGGCTTGGCCCTCAACATTGCCCTCGGAAACATGGGCGGTATCATGGGCAGCTACATGTTCTTCGACTCGGACGCGCCCATGTACAACACTGGGTTCGGTCTCAGCTTGGCGTTCGGCTTAAGCGGCCTGCTCATGGCCTTCGCTGCTGAGGCTGCGTATAAATGGGGCAACAAGAAGAAGGAGGCCTTGTCGGAGGAGGATATCAGGGCTCGGTACACCCAGGATCAGCTCCTGAAGATGGGGGACAGGAGCCCCTTGTTCCGTTACACTCTTTGATGTATAAGTTATATAAGTTGGATCTCTTATAGCTCGTTAGGATGCTTCAGGAAAATGCTCTTTTCTGGTCTCATAGTCATGTGATTTGTCCCACATGCATCTGCAGATGATACATGGCCCCTCAACTCGACCTTTAGGAAAGGAGTGACCCATAAAAGCGCATAAAATGGGTAGAGAGTAACCAGAGATGGATGACTAAGGATGAATTCGTTATGAAGGAGCTCCGTGTGGGGTGGGGGCTTATCGGTTCCTTATCGTAAGGACTGATGAAGTGTGCATTGCACTCGGCCGATGTTTTGCGACGGCTCCAAACATTCGATACTCCATGTTCAAAACGCGGTCCTTCAAGCTCTGTCTTTCTTTTGTCTAGATGTGGCTTTGTCGTAGCAATGTGCGCCCGAATTCCCCCTTGCTTCGCAGCATAGCGGCTCTATCTTGCCGTCGATCGGCATCGAGCCTCCCGAAAGACCTTCTCAAAACACCCAATCCAACGGCCAAATCGCTTGCGGACACCGGCGTGTGGTCCTACATCTCGAGGCGGCGAACGCGAGAACAGATAGAAGCGGACGAAAAGAAGGAGAAGACTCGCAAAAAATCCACAAAGGCAAAGCCTAAGGGCGACCGGGCGCGGGTGAACATAACCAATGACAAGTTCTGCGGTACGGCTAGCATCCTACGCATTTGGCCGAGGCCACCAGTGTCGCTGACGAGGGATTCCATACAGATGATGTTATAGACTACATTGCGCCGTCACTGGAACGTCATGTTGGGTGCGACCTGCTCGATATCAATCCCGGCGCGGGAGTCTGGTCAAAGAAGCTAAACGACTTTCTCAAGCCTCGCTCCCACATCCTCATGGAACCCGATGCTGAGCTCTATAAACCCTTTCTCGACCCCCTCCTGCAAAAGCCCGGCGCAAAACTCGTTCCCGAATCGGGGATTCTCTGGACCGAGCTCACCAAGGCTCTCGGATACCTCGAACACCAGGTCGAACAGCCCCGAAGCTCTGGTACCGAACCCTCACGGAATGATACCCTTCTTGTGACCGCCAACCTGTCCTTTTACCCTAAACGCCGTTTCCGTAACTTCGACTCGGTCGCTGTCCTAGTACTATATCAGCTCCTCACAAGCATTCGACTCGGCTCCCTCTTCCAGAAATATGGCCTCGTGCGCATGCTCCTCTGGATCAACGACGATGACAAGCGCACATTCTTGCCGCGCAGCGTACAGAACCGAAAGAAAACTGCCCTCCAGGCCGAATTCTCGTGCGAGCATCTCGCCGAGGTAGCGGGCAAGGACCCAGCTTCACTCAAGGTCACCCCCGAGCAGCTGAAGAAGATGTACGCCCGCGACCAGTGGATCAATATTGAGAGCTCGCGTAACACCCTCGCCCGGATGAAGTCCGCAGGCATCAATGAGCCGCCGTCTCACCGCAGAATGGCCCTGACCGACGAGGTCATGAAGAACCACACAGGCACCGAGCCCCTGGCCGGCAAAGAGTCCACGCACGTCGTGCGCCCCTACCTCGCAGAGCTGGATGAACTCAACCGCCTCGCAGCCGAAGACAAGCTTGGCGCCCCCAAATCCAAAGGCAACGCCCGGCGCGCGATCCTCGCCAATCAGCTCATTCGCAACGAGCGCGAGGTCGCCATCTTCGACGAGCTGATCCACGAGCAGCAGGAGCTCACCCGTCTCCACAGCAGGGGCGAGCTGACGGCCGACGAGTTCGCCGCGCGCGAGAAGGCGTACAGCGAGCGCGTCGCGGCCCTGCCCAAGAACTCAAAGGCCGACTACCACCTGCTGCGCGACAACTACCTCTTGTTCCGCCAGGATCCGCCAGCGCTGCTGTATGACCGCAGGCCGTGGGAGCCGCTGCGCGTCGAGCCGGGCGACTTCTTCCCCAACGTCGAGACGGCGCTGCTCGACATCCAGCCCAAGGCCATGCACCCTCTCCTGCGCAACGTGGGCTCTGGGTCCAGCGCCACGGGTGACATTTTTGACCTGATCCAGCGGTCAATGCTGTCATCGTCGCTCGATCCAGTGGAGGACACGCTGGACAAGCTGTGGCCTGGGGCACGAGAGGGCATTCTGGAGAATTGCCCGAGCCTGCGCGACCCGGCGAAGGGCGGCCTGCCTGGCACAGGGCCGTCTGGGATGTGCTCACGGTTGTTGAACGAGCAGCAGTGGATGGAGATATTGGACGCTTTCATGAAGTGGCCCTTCAGGCCGTCGCACGCCGAGCTGATTGGGAGGCTGGGCGATGACCTGGCCGTGTCTGACCCCTTGGAGGATTAGAAAACCTGGAAGTCATGCATGTACCATGGCTTATGTTGTACGATGGGGGAAGTAGATATGTAACAATAGATACCATATGAGTGGTGAACTGCGTTGCCGATGCCACCTGGGCATCACTGCTAGAAGTTGCATAACGGTTCCATTAACGGGGATTTGGCTCGTCAAGACCAGTATGTCCCTCTTGGAAAAGCTCAAAGAGTGCGACAATGCTTCATGATTTGCTCTCCATTGGACATGGGTATCAACAAGCGTGAATGGTTTAGTGGTAAAATTCTCCGTTGCCATCGGGGAGCCCTGGGTTCGATTCCCAGTTCACGCAATGCGTTAACTTTTGCTCGTGGTGCATCTCATTTGACACTTTTTTAATGTGAAATCCTCTCGTTCATCTCATGGGGTAACTTCGCGGATGATTGGAACACGGCTTACAGCCTTGGTTGTTTGCTGAGCGGGATACTGTCACCACCAGCTTCAATGTCCGACCCAGGCCATGCCCGTCACTTCTTGCAACAGCAGCCAAAGTTGAACTTATTCACTGCACCCATCAATGAAGGCAGCAATTTTAAAGTGAACAGATTTTTCTGTGCTGGGAGAATTTGTCTTTGTATTATGTTGAAACTTCGCTGACACATAGATAACCACGCTCAGCTTGACGCCGGAATTCATGTATGATTCATGGACACTCTGTACCGGAACCTCCATTCTGTATAATTCAGCATCACATTTAAGTGCTTGTACTAGAAGAAATGCAATGCTTCCCTTATCAGGACCTCGTTTTCGAAATAGTGTCGGTCTTTCGCGCGCCACGTTCTTTCTACAAAATTCCTGCACGTCTTCTCCGTCCTCCGAGCTACCATGTCAAATCCTGACCACACAGTCAAGCTTTGCATGCCCAAACCTCAAGGATTCATCCTTCATACGGTTGTGGCCTTGAACGAGGCCCTTGGACGCATGTGAAGTCGTCAACGCAGTGAAATCTGCATAAACAAGTCGATTTATTTTCCACCTCGTCGTACACTCTTACTTTCATGGTAGTAGTAGTTTCGGCAATAAATTTGGTCTGCCTAGCGGAGCTCTCGCGGACTTGTAGCACACGCTGCTCCATGACAGTATACATACTTCTATCACAGAGATTAGGGAGGGTCAGCTCATTGCAGACCTGAACAACTCTAGATTCGAAATCCCCCCTCCACCCAACACACCAAAAATTGACCCTCTTTATTTGTAGGTTTCGGTATACCTGTCGAAAAGGTAGGACGGGTCGGTGGCACAGAAGTTGGGTTCAGCGCTGGCTACGTTGCCAGCGATGTCTGAAGTTGGCGCCGTCAGAGCGTCTGCTACAAGGTGTGGGATCAGAGTATGTCTGCAAAGCACAGACGTATAGAAAATGTCTTCATTCCAAACATCATAAAGCAATACTGCGCTCTGTCGAAGAAAGTAAATAGCAGTGACTTCCACGCCTGGTCGACTTCACATGACTCTTGAGCTGCCGAAGACATGAGACAGCACTTGCTTTTTTATTATCTGTTGAAAATGCTCCAAGACAAACGTGAGTAAGACCGGGGTCGCCTCGAACAAACTTGACTGACGCACGATAGTCAGGCGGAGTGGATGGTGGCCGAGAATGTGGAAGAGGGTGGCGGCAGGTTCAAGATGGAAATCTAAAGGGACATGCGGAGATATAAGCTTGCGACTTGGGATGACGGCAGTCCCTGTTAAGAGGAGAGTGATGGCGGTGGCAGGATGCAATCACACAAGGCAGCAGGATCCAAATTGCGTGAAAGTATTCAATGAACATTGGAAGCCGTATTTCAGTAGTCCCCTTTATCATCATGGAAGATGAGGTAGCCACGGAGGAAACGCGGCAATGATACCACGCTAGACTGCTGACATAATGAGCCCTACAAGATCGCTCAATAGTACCACGCTGTCGAGATGGGCCAGATTCCCACAAAAGAGAAGTATAAAAGTAGAGGACACGAACATCAAAAGCTTTATGCGACGCCGACCGCGTTCTGCAGTGCGTGAACTGGGAATCGAACCCAGGGCTCCCCGATGGCAACGGAGAATTTTACCACTAAACCATTCACGCTTGTTATTGATCGACGTGCTCGGCGGGTGCGATCATGGAGGAGGAAAGCAACCGTCTTGACGCTGTCGACGGTCGAGACTACTCGATAGAAGTGGGACGCGGAGATGAAACGGTGGAGCAGTGGCCTGGCGTGCGAGGGTCGCGTGTTAAGTGAGGTTCCCACCACGGTTGTCTAGCCTGTGTGCCTCTGTAACACTAGACTGCAGCTTTCCGGTGACATTTGGTGGGACCTGTGCTAGGTGATTGTGATATGCGAGGCTTGTCCATGATGGCAGGACAGCCATGTCTCTTCACTGCCTGCCAATGGATGAAGAAGGTCAAAAGCGGCGATGATGCTGTCTCGTCTCGTCTTTCGATCGCCGAGAGGCAGACCCCTGAATCGGTACTTGGGCAGAGGCTAGGCGTCTGGTCTAATGAAGAAACCGCGGCCAGTCGCAGCGCAGGTGGATGTTTCATTGTCCAGTCCGTGAGAAGAACCAGGAGAACCAGGGTGACGATGCGTCACGTTAAATCTCCCGGGCGGGCCGTTTGACGCCACCTACCCTTGGAATCGAGCCCAGATGGACCAAGTCGAAGCACTGCCACTTGGACAATCACTCAACCAGGCTTGCCAAGGGCCACACAAGACCCAAGGGTCATACAAGACGGAAGGGACCAAAATCATGTACGCCATCCAAGATCGTCGCGAGATAAGGCCACCACCAATCCAATTCCCAACAGATTGCGACACCACCTGCCTCCTTTTTTTTTCTTTCTTTTTTCTTCTCTTTCTGTCTTCGCACTGCACCATTTCATATCTGCATCACCCAACTCTATCATCCTCTGTATTGAACTGACTGAGCTGGACGGTCCTGATCACGTCGGCCTGCATTCTTCAGCCAAAGCCCGTCGAGTAGGTGCTGCTCTTTGTCTCTAGGTCGGTACAATCAATTTAGCTAGCCCGTCCCCTAGAGCCAGCTCTTGGGTCTGTCTCCCCACTGGGCCGCTACTTGACGCACCCCCCTCTCCCCTCCCCCCCCCCCGATCTAGACCAGCCCCAGGCCAACTAGAAGCTAAAGCTTCATCTGGCGTGCCAGCCTACCCCTGACAACAACCTCCCCCCCCCACCCACGACTTTCGCGGCTTCGATCGACCCCCGAGTACCGATTCGAACTTGGCCCGACATGAGAGACGGCCAATATTGATTGATATTGCAGCAAACACTTTTTTCCCTTCTCAATTCGGCCACCACAAGTGCCACGACCCCTCGCCCCCCTGATCGTTGTTGACCTGGCACTTGGGCAAACACTGCCACCACGTGGTCGATCATTTAGCCGCCGCCGCATCCTGCCACACACCTGAAGAAACCTGGCCCCCGATTTAATCGACGCATCACCAGCAGGGACCGACCGAACGAACACATTGCGACCAGCCCTTCTTGCTTGCGCTGCGAGTGTCTCCCCCTCTCCTCCTCGATCGCTCCACGACACATCAGCATTCTCCTCCACCATCACCTCGAACCTACGTTCCTCCGGCCTCGCACAGTCGGCCGCCAGATGTCTTGAGCAGTCTCTCCCACGCATCCCTTCCAGTTGATCTGGACCTGGCCTGGACGTGAACACGCAACACGGCATCGCAGCCGTCTTGCCACCATGGTCAAACTGGCGTCCACCTTCGCGCCACGTCGACCCACGAGCGCCCTTCGCTACGCCATTGCCGCCGTCTTCCTAATATCCCTATTCTACTACCTCGACCCAGGCGGACACCAAATACCCTCCTTCAGCTATAAGCTTCCGAAAACACATCATGGCGTCAAGGACGATGCGTCCCCCAAAAAGGCCGCGCCGCCGTTGCCGCGGCAGAGCGGCCATCCCATCGACGACCTCATCAAGAAGGCCGAGGCGACGTTTGACGACATGATGGCCCGAGAAGCCAGGACGGTCGAAGACGCCGCGAAAGCGTACCGCGAGCGTCGCGGCCGCCACCCACCACCAGGGTTCGAGACGTGGTTCAATTTCGCCAAGAAGAAGAGGTCCATTGTCGTGGAAGACTTTTTCGACCAGATCCACCACGATCTCGAGCCGTTCTGGGGCATCCAGCCGTACCGCATCCGCAAGGAAGCCGCCACCTACGAAATGTTCATCACGGTGCGCGACGGCTTTGCCAACACGACGAGCGACTGGTTCTGGACCCAGATCTGGCTCGACCTCTTCCGGACCATCGACGACATGCTGCCCGACATGGACATTGCGCTGAACCCCATGGACGAGCCGCGCATGGTCGTGCCGTGGGAGGACATGGCGCAGTACATGGAGAAGGCCGCCGAGACGAAATTCATGGCTGATCCCCAGGACGTCGTCAGCCAGTTCCAGACCTTGCCCACTAAGAGTTGGGTCGAGCCTTGGACCTGGACGACGTGGAAGATCTGGGAATCCGAGAGTAGGTCGACCTCGATGCAGCTGGACGTGCAGCGCAGATGTGCTAACATGCTTTTTTTTTCTCTCCTCACAGAGTTTTACTGGCGCCTCGCCCGCCGAGGATGCCCGCCCACGAGCCCGGCACGGACCGCGCCGCTGCAGCGATCCTTCGAAGACGCCCCCGAAATCTCCATGGCCAACGCCGAGCCCCATCTCCTCGAAGGGTACGTGGCAAACGCTACGCTCGCCAAGGACATTTGCCACCAGCCCGACCTGCAGGGCCTCAACGGCATCTTCATCGAGCCCCTCAGCACGTCGACGACGAGAGAAATCTTCCCCCTCTTCGGCGGCTCCAAGCTGGCGGTCAACAACGAGATCATCCTGCCCGCCGCCATGCACTGGCAGGAGGACGAGCGGTTCACGGGCGGCGACGACCACGGCGGGCCCTGGTCGCAGAAGACGAGCGCCGTGGTGTGGCGCGGCGTGGCCACGGGCGGGCGCAACCGCGAGACCAACTGGAAGGGCTTCCAGCGGCACCGGTTCGTCAGCATGAACAACGCGACCAAGGTCGGCGAGGTCGAGCTCGGCGGCTGGCCGGCGCTCAACTTTGCGCTGCCGGAAAAGGCCTACAACATTGCGGCGCAGGCCGCCGGGCGGCTCGGCGAGTGGGTGTCGACGTGGACCAACGTCGCGTTCACGGACCTCATGTGCGAGCCGCGCGAGGACGACGGCGCGTGCCGCTACACGGGGCTGCACTACGCCATTGGCATGGGCCTCTCGATGGGCCAGCAGTTCATGCTGAAATACCTGCCCGACGTCGACGGCAACAGCTACTCGGGCCGCTACCTGGGCTTCCTGCGCAGCACGAGCCTGCCGATCAAGGCGACGGTGTGGCGCGAGTGGCACGACGACCGGCTCGTCGCGTGGAAGCACTTTGTGCCCATGGACAGCCGGTTCGGCGACTACTACGGCATCATGGAGTACTTTCTCGGCTACGGCAACGACGTGCCGGGCCACGACGCCGAGGCCGAACGCATCGCGACAGAGGGCAAGATCTGGGCCGAAAAAGCGCTGCGCCGGGAGGACATGCAGGTGTACACGCTGCGGCTGCTGCTGGAGTATGCGCGCCTCACCGACGATCGACGGCTGACGATGGGCTGGGTCGACGACCTCCTCCAGGGCAGCCAGGCGCCGCATGGCGCCGGGAGGCCCTGAGCCTGAGTGACAAGAGGAAAAACAAGAGCGAAGGACAGCTGGGGATGGAGACGAAAGAGTGTACGAGATATAGAGCAACCGAGCACGACCGATATGGCAAGGCGTTGGGGAAGGGGGCACAGGGATTGAAATTTTTGTTTCTCTTCGACGAGTATTTTCCCTTTTCGGGCTCGACAGGACAGCCTGGTTTTTCGAACGGATGCACATGGCTGCGCCCGTGATAGCACGCCAGGTTCGCATTTGACACGGCACTGGCGTTGCGTCCTCAGGAGCCTTTTTCCTTTCCTTGTCTTTTTATTGAAACGAGGCTGGGCCCGGACCGGATTGGTACCTTAGACATGGCCCGATTGCATTCGCGCATTATATCCATTGTTTATCTTTTTTTTTTTTCTCCCTCGATTTTTCATGCAGGACTGCTTCTTCGAGATGAATGTACGTGTGCGTGCGGTCAAAAGCATGTGGCGCGTGAATTACCCAAGGTGAGACGAAGAGAGTGATCAGCCCCCCCTCTCTATGGCGACGAAAGAATGGATGGTCATATGACGAGCGTCACTTGACCGCCTCGCGCGCCCTTGGCCGGCGCGATACGCGATACCAGCGGTATGAAGCTAGATACCACCAAGGCGTCGACAGGCGATAGCAAACCATTACTTAATTGCGCGTTTCGAGCGACAAGAGGGCACAAGATTACGTAGCCCCCCCCCCCCTTCTCGCCGCACTCGCTGCCCTCGCTGGCCCGGAGGACCCGCGCGCGCAAAAATGAATCGCCCTGGGCCGCGCTCTAGCCTGGACCTGCACTTAGGGGAAGACACCACTGCGCCCGGGGCGGGGCCTCGAACGCTGCCAGTCCCCTAAGTGCAGGTGCCCCGACTCCGTCTCCGCTAAGTGCAGGTGCTGCCGGGCTGGCCCCACTCTTCCCCTCCGTGCTTTCTCGAGACACGCGCAGAGGCAGAGGGCGAGGGCTTCGGGAGGGTGGTCCGGGTGCGGACGTCGCGAGGAATGTTGTCGCTTGCTCCGAGCCGAGCATGCTGGGGAGAGTAGATAAGGAGCTGCTTTTCGCTGCTCGGACGTGGCAGCTTTCGTTTTCCTCTCTCTCACTCTCTCTCTCTCTCTCTCTCTCTCTCTCTTGCTTCCATTTTTCGTAGCGCCTTCCTAGCTTCCCTCGGTGCTTCTTTGCGTTTGACGCAAAAGACCCCCTCTAGACGCAAGACGCAAGACCAGCCAGCTCGTCGTCCTCTCTGGCTGACCCTCACCACCCCAACACACACACATACACACATACCACTTCTTTCGCCGCCATGTCGCTGTGCACCTCCATGGTCAAGTCCAAGTTCCTCGACAAGCCTGAGGACATTGGCGTTGTCGTTGCTGGCTTCTCTGGTGGTCAGGTACGTTCAGCCACCTTCTCCTTGGGCTCGGTTCGCTCTGAGTTTCCACCCCTCCCCCGGCTCTGCCCAACACGCGCCTAACCACTGTGCCCTTCTCAGCGCAAGGCAGGTGTCGACCACGGCCCCCAGGCTCTCATCGACGCCGGTCTCCTGACCTCGCTGCGCGCCGAGCTCGGCTACACCCTCCACGGCGACGACAAGGTCCACTCGTACGAGGACATCATCCCCGCCGACGATGCGCCCGTCCGCAACATGAAGAACCCGCGTGCCGTCTCGGCCGTGACGGAGCGCATTGCCACGCAGGTCTACGAGCACGCGCGGCAGGGCCGCATGGTGCTCACGCTCGGCGGCGACCACAGCATCGCCGTCGGCACCATTGGCGGCTCGGCGCGCGCCACGCGCGAGCGTCTCGGCCGCGAAATCGCCGTCATCTGGGTCGACGCCCACGCCGACATCAACACGCCCGAGACGTCGGACAGCGGCAACATCCACGGCATGCCGGTGGCGTTTGTCACGGGCCTCGCCAAGGAGGCGAAGCGCGACTGCTTCGGCTGGCTCCAGGACGAGAACATGCTGAGCCTCCAGAAGCTCGTGTACATTGGGCTGCGCGACGTCGACGCCGGCGAGAAGAGGATCCTGCGCGAGCACGGCGTCAAGGCGTTCAGCATGCACGACGTCGACCGCCACGGCATCGGCAGGGTCATGGACATGGCGCTTGCGCACATTGGCACCGACACGCCCATCCACCTGTCGTTCGACGTCGACGCGCTCGACCCCCAGTGGGCGCCCAGCACCGGCACGCCCGTGCGCGGCGGCCTGACGCTGCGCGAGGGCGACTACATCTGCGAGTGCGTGCACGAGACGGGCAGCCTCATCGCCGTCGACCTCGTCGAGGTCAACCCGGCGCTCGCCGACACGGAGATGGGCGCCGCCGAGACCATCCGGGCCGGCTGCTCCCTCGTGCGTTGCGCCCTGGGCGAGTCGCTGCTGTGAGCGTGCGGCACGGGACGGAGCACAGGGCACGGGACGGGCACGGGGCCCGGAGCAATGAGCACGGTGGTGGGAAGGGGCCTGCGGTTGTGAGGACAGCAAACGTGCTGCGAAATAGGTGACGAGGGACGGACACTGGTGTTTTGGGGGGGGTTGTATATCTATAGTGGCTGGGTGACCGGATTCTGCCTTCTGGCGGATACTGCATGGGCGCTGTCTGCTTGGGGGATCCTCAGTCATGGCATGGATGAAGGCGCAGGCGGGTTTTCATGACGACCATTTCTGGTGTCGTTTCTGTTTCTATCATGAGAGCGTAGAGTGCGGACGCACGATGATGAGAGCAATGATTTTTCAAAGATTTTTCTGCCCTTTTTTTTTTTTTTTCTTTCCTTCTTTTTCTTCTTCTTGTTATTCCTCTTCTCCTTCTTGTCCCACGTTGTCCCCGTCTCGCTATGCAGCACGCACACGCGCAGAGAATGGCATGTGACGAGCCTAGTGATGCAGGTGGCGGGGGCTGGCATGGCGACCAGGGCCCTGACGACCGCTGTGCCTTCCCTGGTCGGTACCTACCTTAGCAAGCTTAGCTACTACCTACGGTACGCCCTGGCCTCCCCTTCTTCCACTGCAAGCCGCCAGGGACAAGCGCCCTCGAGCACAGCAACCACGACGCAGCCCAGAGCCCCAGCCACCCCACCAACCCTTCCTCCCGCTTTCCCCCTTCCGCCCCAGCCACCCTTTTTTCACTGTTCTGGAGGCGCAGGGTCACTCTGTAGCGTCGTCTGTAGCGTTGTCCCAGCATCACGGCTCGAATGGAAAGAAGAAAAGGGCACATGGCATTTTTTCCATCCTACATGCCACTCGGAGCATTCCAGAACAGCATTGAGTCCAAAACACCATCCAATGTCAACGTTCGACTTGTCGTGATGCTTGGCTGAGGTAGTCACCCTCCTACAGCATACCCAACCGAACTTGGTACACCAACAACTTGGTACACCAACAACTTGGTACACCAACAACAGACTGGCAGCATCGCCCCGATCTTGGCATGACAACACACCATCGGAAAGCTTACATCCCCCCCCTTCTTATTACCCGCCTCCCCCCACTGCGCGCGTCGATCGGTCGCAACACCAGCTTGTCGCATCCCCCCCCCATCGTCGACGATTCTTCTAGACTCAGCATCACGACGCTGCCATCGACGTGAACGCCCCGGCGCACGATAGACCGACCGCTCGATACACTCGACAGAACGCGGCCCCTCTTGACGCCTGTTGTGGACCCCCCGCCTTCCCATCGAACCCGATCACGATTGGGCACACCCGCGTTGCGTCGACGCCCTCGTCCACCTACCATTGACGTGGCCGTCCCCTTGAGACAAACGGCGACGGGCAGAGTCCAGCCAGTGCAACGCATCGGGGTGGATTGGTCCTGCGCGTTGCCGATTGGCACAGCTCTGCGTTGGGTTGCGACCACGACAGCCTCCCCACCGCCTGACGGATGAGATAAAACGGCGTGTTCTGCCCATCCCCGACGAGTCTTCCCTCTCCCCCACAACGCCGCCGACGCGCTACACGAGGCCGCAGACCGCTGCCATGGCGTCCACAACAACCGACGGCTCGGCCGTCTACGAGCGACGGCTGGTCAAGACACACCGATACCAATGGCCCGGCATCCAGCTCAACCTCTGGATCCTCATCATGCTGATTGCCGCCGGCTTCATCATGGGCGCTTTCGCGACGTTTATCCAGATCCAGCAGCAGCTGCTGCTTCCCATCCCCTGGTACGTTCCGTTCCCATGTTCGACGCCATCGGGGCGCAAGACGGGTCGGCTCACATGACGTGCCAGGTACTTTCCCTACTTTATCACCGTCGCGGCTCTGCTCGTCGTCTACGTCCTCCTCATACTCTGGCTCGTCTTCAACCAGCGCTTGCTGCCGGCCATTGTCATGATCGGCGCCTTTATGCTGTTCATCCTCTGGATGGTCGGACTCGTGGTGGTGGCCATTGAGCTGTTCGGTCCATCGGGCTCGGTGCAGGGCAACTGCAACATTGCCGTCTTTAGCCAGAACCCGACAGGCCAGACGTTGGAGACGCTCGCGTGGCTGCAGCAGAGGAATATCTGTGAGTGCCCCCGGTGGCCTGGTGGGCGAGACACGCGACGGAATACTGATGTATGTGTGTTTGTGTCAGGCCAAACATGGCAGGCCGTGTTCGCCTTCAGCCTGGTGGGCGTCATCTTTCTCGTCTGGATCATGGTCATGGCCTACCAGGTCTTTGTCGAGTCGTGACACCCTCGACTGAACGACACGATGGCGGCCGGATGGGCATCTTCTGCCGCTGTGCGCATAGTGATGGATCCACGTCTTTTCCTGCCTATTTTTCTTTTCTTCTTGTTGTTATTTCTTGGACATGTAGGAGCGTGCAGGCGAGAGCGAGAGACAATGGGGGCCAAAGCCCAGGGACCAGGATGGATGGCGTTTTGGGGGGGGGCATGAGTCTTCTTCGGTGGTGTTTGGGCAGCCCGCCTGTGGGCGAGGGATCCGTCTACTTGGCATGGGTACTTGGAGGACTGTGAATACATCGTCAACGTCTCCAGACATCGTCAACGTCTCCAGACATCGTCAACGTCTCCAGATGATGGTGAAAGTCAAAAGTCACCAGCTCCACCGACCCCTCCATTCATTCCTAACCCCCCACCTTGAACCTGATTCACCCTCTCCACCCTGCGTCATGGGCCACATTCCGGTCGAGCTCGTCCCTGACCAAGCAACGTCACTGAACGGTACCCCGCGTCACGAGCCGCGTCCATGCATCGTCGCCCACTCACTCGTGCCGTCCGAAGCTCGTCCAGCCCCGCCAAGCCGCTGCCGGCCGCTGCCGCGCCAAGGAGTGCCGTCCAACCCGGGGAGGAGAGGGGGCCCTGCGGTGTCACGGTCGCACGTCTCCAAACCTGTTTTCCGCCCGCTGCGTCTGGAACATCTCCACGTCAGACGGCTTTAATTGTTTTTTCGTGGTGTCTCTTCGAGGGACGCCCATCCCGCCGAGCCGCGCGTCGGCGTCGCCCCCACCCGCCATCATGCTGTCCTGTCCTGTCCCGCGGCCGGGTTCTTGGGCAATGCGGGGCTAAACAGAGGGTGATTGCCGTGACGTAGAGAGGCCCTCTGGTGCCGTGTTGATCTGAGGTTGCGTCATGGGAGGCGTGTTGCTGTTATATAAGGCTGACGTTGGCTGTCTCCATGTGCAGGTCACACCACATACCACATCAGTCCTTTTGACAGACCCGGATTCAAAGTCGGCATCCTCTCGCAAGACAACCCGTCAACAGCAGCGCAACAGACAAACACCGCCAAGATGGACAAGATCAAGCAAGCGGCCTCCAGCCTCGGCGGTTCCGGCCACAAGGAGGTCAACACCCAGGGCGGCGCTGGCAAGCAGGACTACGTCGACAAGGGTAAGCACGACACCCCCCCCCCCTCGCGTCAGCTCGTTGAACCAACTCGATCGACGTCTCGAGCTGGCTTGGAATGTTGGAATGTGATCTTGCGTGCTGACCTGCCTACAGCCTTTGACGCCGGCGTCAAGAAGTCGGGCCACAGCATGGACCGCAACACGCAGGAGAAGGTCACCGATGCCGGGCGCGGCATGTTCGAGAAGCAGACGGGCAAGAACGTGCCGCACAACGTGTCCAACTAGATTGTACCGCGTTGTCCATGGGGGCGGTTTGGCTAGCGTGTAGACTATTGTAATCATGAGGCGAGATGAATTTTTGGATGGAACACTGCAACCATTTGACTGCTGCACTGCCGGAGGGGTGTCATGATGCATGATCTGACATTCTCATGCCATGCTACTCAGTCGTAGCTTGTTCTCGTGGGCCTTTTGACGCCGCCAATACCGTTGTGTCTTTGGGTGAGGGACTCGACCCCTGCGCTCGGGGCATATCAGGGGCCCGACCCGAAGCCACGCAAATTGGACGACGCCGTGTCGTGGCAGATCGGCT